CACCACCACCACCACCACCACTGTGGAATAAGATACAGTGTAGTAATCTTCGAGCGCGGTATTATTTGGGGCTGCTTATGATGATCAGGAGAGAAACCACCCTTCGTGGCATAGTCGCGATTATCGAGGCCTCCACCCTCTCATCCCAGAAACCAAGTAGTTGTGTTTCTTTCTGTTGCGCATGTATTCCTGGCACACTAATTTGCATTACGAGAAATTATCGCTGTCATTTAAGACTATCAGTGTGCTGGCAGGCTGGCCCCGTAAAGTGGATGTGCTTCCCCAACCGGAAGACGCCCATCGGCAACGCCATTGACCTGTACCTGCGCAGGCCTAATCTCGCCCGGTCGACTTTGGGGTGTGGGTTTCGGTGCACAATCTAGGTTTTGGTGATTGAGGGTTGTTTTGGGTCCAGGGTCTAGGGTTCAGTTTCTAATTCGGTTTCAGGTCGCTTCCTGCCCGCAGCCCTCGTTGGAGGGCCGTTGCAGGGGGAAGTGGATATAGAAACAACAATAACAGCGGGAGGAGGCGTATGAGGAGGACGAGCAATAAGATCTTTTCCCATCATCAGCAGCACTGAGACGAGAATCCCACAGCACCCCCTTTAAGAGAACTTTCTAGATGAAGGAAGCAGTCCGGGAAATTGCGCTAAACCCTGAATCCAGACTCTCAACCCCATACTTCTATCCTCAACTCCGAAATGCTAAGCCCGGAATACAAAACCCCAAACCTTGAATCCCAGACCCAAAGCTCCAAACTCCAAGTTCCACACTTTGGGTTCAACTGCCGCCAAGAAATAGCCATTCATATAACGCAATATCTGTAGTTTTAACTATCACGATCCCGTGTGGTCACTATGAGCGAGTGGGTGCCTAACCTAAACCAAATGCTACTATAGAAGCTTGAACTGCTGATATTAGTATCCCTTTTTAAGCCCCGTATAACTGTATAACCGTAATATAGACTTCAAGCCCTATCCCTAAACCTCAGACCCTAAACCCTAAATGTTGAACCCTAACCCTTAAACCCTAAATCTGAAACCCAAACCCTCAACTTTAAACCATAAACCTTAAACCCTAAAACCTTACACCCTATACCCTACAACCCTAAACCCTACAACCCTAGATCTTAAGCCCTAAACCTTAAGCCCAAAACTCTAAAACCCTATGCTAAGCATTCGCGCCAGGCAGCTGGAACTGCCAGATGAGGCTGTGCATCGGCTCTTCAGCGCAGTTCTGCCGCAATTGGGGGCTTGTTAGGGGTTAAGGGTTTAGGGTTTAGGGTTTAAGGGTTTAGGGGTTTAGGGTTTAAGGGTTTGGGGTTTAGGGTTTAAGGGTTCATAACCCTAAACCCCAATCATTAAGCCCTAAACCTTGACCGATAGGGGTCAGTGCGTAAGGCTTTGAGTTTAGCTTTTAGTATTTGAGGCGTAGGCATGGCAGAAGCCCCCCAGTTACAGCGAGAGATATCTTATGGCCTCTTATGTTGATAACTGTTGTGTTTCGTTGCTGTACCTAGCGGCTTGAAAAGGTTTAGGGATTTTAGGGATTCAGGGCTCTAAGGGGTGGTCTGGGCTTCCTGTTTGGGAATTGCTCAACGGTAGTGGTATCTTGCAGAAGGGGTCATTCAGGGCTTAAGCACGGAGGATGGCAAGTTTTTTCAGCACCTTGTTTGGGGAATGTCTTTTGGGAGCGTAAATGGGAGACCTTCACGTTGAGAAACTGTCAGAAACTCCGACTCTGAACCCTAAATCTTGGAGGTTTCATCCTAGCCACAAACCCAATTCTAACCCCTAAACCCCATCGGGGCCCGTAGTATGGAGGCCAGGGTCAGGGGCCTTAGGAACCATGCCAGGCAAACCGCTGGGAGATGGCGCAGACCATCGTTGAGGCAAGGTGCAAGGTATGAGGGCAGGTAAGGTTCAGAGTGTAGGCTTTAGGGTTTGGGGTCTCGGGTCCAGGGTTAGGCTTTAGGGTTCAGGGCCTTGAGATTGTAGGGGTAGGGTTTTGGGTGCACGTCTAGGCTGGGGTGTACGGTTTGAGGTTTTGGGGGGGCAGGGTTTGGGGTGTAGGCTTTGGCTCTTCATTATGATTCGGGTATGAGGTTTGAAGTTCAAGGCAGGTCGTTTTCCCCCATGTAGATGGCAGGAGTTACTGTATCTTTTTTCTCACCAAACAAGCCTTTTACATAGGTGTAAACCTTACACCCTAGCCTCACAGCCGACTCATTTGAAGAATTCCCTGCATGAGTGTGCCAATGGTCCAGGCTTATTCGGGCTCCTAGTATATTGAGAATTCGGTACGTAATGGGCGATTTGGAAGACTAGTCCAGGCAAGCCCCCACCACGAATCCTGAGCCCAAAGCCTTTCAACCTAAAGCCTAAAAACTGCAAAGCCCAGATGAGGGTTTCCGGAATGAGGGTTCCATCTTGGGGGGTCACAATAAGGGTTTAGGATCTAGAGTTTAGGCTTTATGGGATTATGGTATTATGAGATCCCTCTTTTGGAAAACCGCCATATCCTGAACCCCAGCTTCTTTTGTTTCGCCCGTTAGGACCTTCGTGCGGGGACCACAATCGTCTGTGACCGCTACGCCTTTTCCGGCGTGGCGTACTCTGCGGCAAAAGGCCAGTTATGCCTCTTGCATCATGGCTCTTCTTAGCTACTAGCCCCATACCACATGTACCCGGAAGCCTATTCCGACTTGTTCCGTCACAGCTGGCTTCACGCAACAAGGGTTTCAGGCTTGTACCTCTAGCATTGTACTGGGATCCTTTTAAGGGAGCCTAGGGGAACACATTGGCTCACGTAAGGGCTATATCAATATGAGGGGCCACGATCTTAGGGGTACAGCCCAAGAACCCTACCCTAAACCCTAAACCCTAAACCCTAGAACCTAAACCTCAAGCGCAGGCCTGGACTTCGCGTGGTGCCAGGCCCCAGACAGGGGATTACCATGCCCAGACGGGGTCTTCTTCATGCACATCGACGAGAAGGCGGCAAACGGTGTAAGGGGTCCCCTCATGTACTTCCCCCAGAGACCTCAATGGCTTTAGTCCTTTTTAAGGAGGATTGCAGGATTAAGTTCCCCCAAGCCCTAAAGCCTGATAGTCCCCCTTAATTAGATAGAATATGGGGTATATGGAGATCTTGTTAAAACATACCCAAATCCATATTCTATCTACTTAAGGGGGATTATAATCCCAGTCCCCAAATGAATGTGTGCCTCGTCCCCGCAGCTTTGCAGAGGTTGGTGCAGCTCGGTCGAACTTCGGCGACGAGCGCTACGAGAATGCGGCGATGCAGGCGGGGTAATCTTGTTGCTTGTTTGCAGGGAAAAGACGAATGGCAAAGACCATGGAAGGTACAAAGGGGTTCAGGGGTTGCAGGGGTTGGGTTTAGGGTAGGGAAGGCAGGTTACAACTTTGAATAATATGACAGCTTCTATTGTCTGTTGCATGCTCTCATTTCCTACGCACTGGTACCCTCTGGTGCCGTCTTTGATGCTCAGAGTCAGGAGGGTACTTCTCAAAACTTGGATCCCTTATATACATGAAAATGGTATGCTTAGCATGCTTCTGAAAGGACGACCTCAAGTTGTCAAAGCTTCTCATATGAGCTAGGGGGCCTTATATAGGAAATCATGTAAGCGAGGATGATGGGGGATATAAGGGAGATACAAGAATTTTAGACTATAGCTCATATCTGTCCATGCTTACCATTCAAGTTTTGAGGCCAGGGTCCGCGCCCAGTTCAAAGACCGACGCCTCCGTGACAGCGTCAACTGGCGCGATGTGGACGGTGCCCGTGACATCGAGGCGTCAGCGGGCTCATCATCCTTTTCTAGCAGTTTCCATTCTCTTGTCAATTTTCCCTATATACCCTTATACATACCCAATTATGATGTAGTAGTTTCCATTTTATTTTCCATTAGCGTAGTTAAAAGAGTCGTAGCAGTAGCAGTTTTAGGGAAAGAAGTTAGAGTATGAAAGGTAGAAGTAGTGGCATTACTCCTATGCCTGTACAAGATGTCGACTGCACAGCACGGTTGGCAGCCGATGGTATTGCTTTCATTGGTGAGGTGCCACAACTAGTAAGGAAAGCAGTCAGGTTTTGATAGGCTTATGGCCTGCAACGTCTCGTTCTTAGTTAGTGTGACAGACAGATGGTACAAGTATTTTGCAACAACCTGACCTACACTCCTTGTAGCTTCATTATGCCACCCTATGGAGGTTTCCTCATGTTTGGGCCTCGAACAGTGTGGCGTGGACATCCGTTCCATACCGAAAAGATAACCTCCTACACAGCTACATGCTTCCATTCATACGAAATGGATCAACCCCCTCGTTGCATACGGAATTTTGAGTGGCTACGCAACGGCCGGGATATTTGGGGAGACGGCACATAAGCTTGACATGGCCGTACATAACACCAATATCACCCCAGAAAAAGGCGCAGTAAACCTCAGGCCTCGGCCTCTAATCGATCCTCAACCCTACTCTCAAACCCTCAACAAGCCCCAAGCCCTAAACCTTCTACCCTGCACCTTAACTCGAGTAGAACCTATTCTGTTGATGTGAGCAATTCTCCACCACCCGGCGGCTGCAGCTGGTGCAAGGTTTCCTCCAACTTATTGTCGCTTGATCTTTCAGCCTTCTATGGTTATAGTCCCCCTTAAGTACATAGAATATGGGGTATATGGGGATCTGGTTATAATATGCCCAAAGCCATATTCTATCTGCTTCAGGGGGACTATACAGTAAACAAAAAGCCTTGTGTGTTACCAGGATACCGCACTATCTCTTGGTGGCAGGTGATCCATGCGGAGATCCGAAGCGCGGTGGAGTCTATCCGACTGGAAGATCAGGACCATGAAAGTGGTTGCATTTGGCAATAACGAAGAAACTGGTGACTATCGCGTACTATTGGGTTTGGGTTTTAATTGGAGTTTGGGGTTAAGGCTTTGCTGGGGCTTAAGGGGGGATGGGAGAGGGATATAGATAATCAGCACTGCAGGGGGGGGGGGGGGTGTGGGAATTACTGTAAGGATGCACTTCGCCACTCTCAATTTAGCGTTGGTACGTTAATTTTTGAAGCTCAGAACCTAGGTTCAGGGTTTAAGGTTTAGGGCTTGTGGTTGGGGATGTGGGGTTCAGAGCCCATAGGACAATCATGCAGAAGTGAGGATTCGACCCAGACTCACATCCCAAACCCCAAGTTGGAGAGCCCCAAACCATAAACTACAGAAAGCCCAAATACTGAACCCCAAGTCTAAAACCTTTAGCCCTAAGCCCCAGATCCTGAAACCTAGGCCCTAAGCTCAAGTCCAGATGTTGAGCCCTAAGTCCTGTAAGCCCCAGACCCAAATGCGAGTTTCCCAACATCAGATGTACATTTTTGGGGGTCCCCATAATAAGCGGTCCCCCCTATTTCAGGAAAGTACCAGATCCTAAACTCTGCATCGTCGTAGGCCCTAAGCACGAAGATCCGACAGGAAAATCGTCAGCGCCCAATCAAGCGCTTGTGGTCGAACTGAGCTTCAAGTTCGTCTCGTCTGGTGCTGCTAAGGGCCAAAGCTGGATCTTTCCGGTATCCCTATACAACCCCAATATGTTATGTAGTAGTTTCCATTTTCTTTTCCATTATCCCTATATAACGCCAGTATTTCTGTAGTACAGGATCTAAACCCTAAACCCTCTGAAGCCATGGATTTAGGATTTAGGTCTGAGGTGGGCCCTAATGATTTCTCAAGGAAGCTCTCTGTATTCCGTACAGTGGCCTCCGCTGACACTGTCATGGCGTTCTTGTGGGCCTAGCAGCTCAACGATTATGTCTTCTATATGATGTGAAGATTTTAAGTCATCAATTCTCGAGGTGGCTTAGGTTTCAAGATCTGGGCTCACGCTCCAACTCACAAATCCCAGGCCCGGATTAGGGTTATGGATCCCTAAACCCTAAACCCTAAACCCTCACAGTCTGTTTCTTGTGTCAACTGCAAGCATCTCACGACAAATATCTTTGACCCTGAACCTATCGCTCTTTGCGTAGGAAGGATTTTCCTAAAGAAGGGTTTAGGATTTGGGTTTAGGGCAATCCTGAAGCAGGATTGCCCTAATTCCCTCAAAATACCTGAGCACGGCACCCTGAGCAATGAACTCGAAATCCCAAAGCCGTCATCTCGCGGAGGTATCCCCGCTTGAGGGAAGCCCAACATTAGGTTCATGGGTGAGTTAAAGATAGGTATGACGAATGATAGCTTGGCTTGGGATACTTTTAATTGTAGTTGTAAATACCCACCCACAAACTCACCATAAACCCCAAACCTTCAACTGTGTACCCTAAACACCCTAAACACTCTTTCGTAGTAGATAGAATATGGGGTATATGAGGATCTTATTATACTATACCCAAAGCCATGTTCTATCTACTTTAGGGGGGACTATAGCCCAAACCCTAAATCTCACAGCTCGGCGGACCTGAAAGCGCGGCAGCATTCCGTGTCTGCCACAACAAGGACCGGCAAGGGTAGTAGCAGTCCAGACCCACTAAAGGCATCCCAGCAGATGATGCCCGAAGGCACAGCCTAACCCCTCAAAGGTTTAGGTTTAGGGTAAGCCCTAAACCTTAAAACCTAAACCCAACACCTAAAGCCTATAAACACACACCGTGTGTTGGGGGATTCCTTGGTGGGTCCGGGAATTCCAATGATTCTTGTGACTTGGGCGGCTTCTGACAAGAACCTCGAAACCCAAAAATCCAAAAAACATGGGCTTAGCTGTCATGGTGCGGATAGGTTTAGGGTTTAGGGGGGTTTAGGGTTTAGGGTAGTCTTCTCTTCTTAATGGTTTTGGGGAGGGGGAGGCCAACCCATTCTAGTGGTACAGGGATTTTAATTTCGGAGAATTACTGTCCCGAATCAGCGGAAGGCCTTATTGGCCGATCGGAGAAACTTAGGGTTTGTAGCTTAAGGTTTAGGGTTTAGGCCGACCACTACATTTCTCGGGGCGCATTGCACCGAACCCTGGCAGTATTGATTTTCAGGGACTTGACGTGCTAAGGCCCCACGCTCATAGAATCAAAGTTGTAGATACCATGAGAACAGCAGCACCATTGCCTACACTACCATGTTTCTATCACTGACCCCAATGTCTAAAACCTTGAAACCCCACACCCTGCAGCGCAAACCTTAAGCCACGTGTAGGGCTTGTCAAAGTTTGGGTTCGATTTCCATGACAGTACGGCCCTACTACAGGTATTCAAACAGAGATCACATTTTTCAGAAAACATTTCCTCTCGCACTCAGAACTGCATCATGTTAGCTGGATGAAGCACAGCTCCAAATGTGCATTTTCAAAAAATGCTCTCCTCCAAATACGAGTTTGAGTCTAGGTAAAGAATCTCAACATTGGCCTAAACCCTAAACCCTAAACCCTAAGCGTTGACATTTTCCTCCCCAGCGATTGCTAGCATCAGAAAAGGTGCGAGGGGTTGGAAAAAAACCCTAAACCCTAAACCCTCATAGAATCCTATACACCTATGTTCACCTGAAAGGCCAAAGGCAAGAGATTTTCCCCAAACCCTGAACCCCCCCTAGGAGTTTGGAGAATTCCTATGCCTTGGGGTTTTAGGGTTTAGAATTTAGGGTTTAGGGTTCACTTGAAAGGCGATATGGGATAATACATGGGTTTCATAGGGATGCAAAAAGGGTTCATGGCTAGGTTGCCGAATGGATGAAAAAGGAGTTCCTGGCTAGGTTCCAGAATGGAAAGTCAAAGAAAACAGAAATAAGTTCTGTGTGAGATCATAGGGATTGTGCAAGCAGAAGCCTAAATAATTTCGGGCAATGTTTTTTCTACAGTCCGTAAATAGTTATAGAAAATACCCAAACTTCCTATCTCGATGTTGTCTAAGGGCTGTCAGAGATTGATTGGGATCTCTGCTTCGTTTTGGGAGGCTGTTGATTTTGGGGATATGGAGCGAACCATTCTTCAGACCCCTAAACCCTAAACCCTTAACCCCCTGTTCGGCAACTTGTGGCTTTTCGTAGCCGGCATACATCGCATGACCTTCGGCCCTCATTACATCATAAGCCGCTGATAATTCACATTGGGACAGGAGTATGAGTATCCGAAGCAAGGACTCTCAATCTCTTGTCTGTGGTTGCCAAGTTTCGTGAGGCCCTTGAATCGTTCGGATTGCAGTGCTTAGGCTGCTTCTTGAAAGGAGAGGTTCTATAGCATTTGCTAGGAAATGCTAGACACTTGAAATTTACGTGGTGTCACTGCCATCGGCACCCCTAGACCTTGAACTGCACATTGCAAGCGCCACTCGATAGGCTCAATCCAGTGACCAATGCGAGAAGAGGCTTTCCCTTAATGCCACAGATGAGCTACGATCAACATGATGGAGACCGAGGGAATTTTGAACTGTGGACACAAGGTTGTTCAAACACTGAGTCTAGCAACTACTGCGCTAGTTCATTGTAATCGAAAGCTTCCATGTTCATAGCTTCTTTCCAGTGGTCCAGAAGTGTAGTGCGCGGAATTCTGCAGATGCGCGCAGGACCCAAGGATTTCGGCAGAAAACACCAATATTCCAACACACTGCAATTCGACTGTGCTTCATGAACAGTTAGGCACTTCAGGTCAACAGATTGTCCTGCAGATGTTTCCACATCCGTGGATTGTCAATCTTGTGCATAAGGGCCTCACATGACAGGCAGAAAGGGTGTCCTGTCGAGTTCATGGGAACCTCACTTCCCCTCATCTAAGCTAGACCACAGTCATTCTAGAAGAGTTGCGGAGAGTACGTGTGATGCCAACGCCCACTATCACCATCACCACCGCCGAGCCGCCGCCACCAGCGCCAACGGCAACGGAATCGCCGCCTCCACTGTCGGCGCCACGCCACTAAGACTGTCACTACCACCGTCACCACCACCGCCACCACCCCTCGCAGCAGCAGCTGGGGTGGGTGCCACACTGCTACCCACGCAACAATTGCTGCTGCTGCTGCTGCTGCTGCTGCTGCGGCGGCGGCGGCGGCGGCGGCGGCGGCGCTGCGGGTGCACCGCTGACTCTGCTTCCTCGCTACTGCTAATGCTATCACTTCTGCTACTACTACTGCTATTACTCTACTCATTAGTACTGCTATTGTATTGCTGTTGCTATTTTGCTTTTTATTGCAACCATTTTCACTACAACACAACCTACCAAAGCCCTGTGTATTGCTGACTATGCATATGAACTAAGCGGCAGTCACTGTTCGAGGGTCGAGTTTATAGTCCCCTTAAGTAGATAGAATATGGAGCATGTGGGGATCTGATTATAATATACCCCAAAGCCATATTCTATCTACTTAAGGGGGACTATAACCCCAATTCTTAACCCTAAACCCTAAATAGTATTTTCTTTTCCACTATCCCAATATAGCCCCAATATAACCCCTGCATTCTATCTACTTAAGGGGGACTATAACCCTAAGCCCTAAACCCTATACCCTATATTCTATCTACTTAAGGGGGACTATAGGTTCCTATGACGATTGGGGAGCAGAGGCAAGTGCGAGCAGCCTTGGCATTGCACGTGGGGAGAAAAGACAGCACCCAGCATTTTTCAGGACGGCTGTCGCCAACAACGTAATGAAGACCCCTAGTTAATAAACACCTTCCCCTTAATGGGGATTACAATGGGGATCCTTATGTTAAGGTCCTTGAAAGGAGGGGGTTTATTAATCAGGGTCTACATTGTGTATTGTCTCGTTGCGAGAATCCCTAGGGTTTTTGTGGTGGTTTTGTATTGGTGAGGGGAGGAGATTAGATTCTCATCTCTTCGAAATCGTTCAAGGTTTTGGTTTTCAGTGGGTTCG